TAAATAAAATTGTTTTTTCTTGAATTTTCTTTATGCTTAGAAAAATTTGTTCAGCACAACTATTTTTCTTTATTTAATAGGGTGGCTCTGCTGAAATTGAGCTGAAAAAGGGTAACACTATGCGACTAACCACCGACAAATCTTTTGAAAACTCTGGCAATGAGAAGCAGATCTATGTTGACTATGCCAATATCACTAAGGTAGTCAAAGAAGGCAACAGAGTTTTTGTTGATGATGGTCTCATTTCCCTCATTGCCCGCAAAGTTGGTAAGCAATTAAATTTTGAAAAACTTGCTTAAAAGAAATTTTTTATTGACATTTTGCTCTTTGAATCAACATTAAGATAGGAAAATCCTTGAATAACCAAGTTTCATAAAAGTGCTGCCAATGCATCATTACTTGTTCTCTAATCAAATTTATTTATTTAGGTGACAACTATATTGACACTGAAATTGAAAATGGTGGTCTGCTGGGCTCTCGAAAGGGTTGCAATCTTCCTGGAGTTCCTGTTGATCTGCCAGCTGTATCAGAAAAGGACAAAGCAGATTTGCAATTTGGTGTCAAGCAGGGAGTTGACATGATCTTTGCTTCGTTTATTCGTAATGCTGCTGCGATTAAAGAAATTAGAGGAATCTTGGGTTAGTCCTCACTTATGACCTCTGCATAAACTTAAGTTTCCTACCTTTGGCTGACCACCCAAATCTTTTTATCAGGTGAGGCTGGCAAGAAGATTATGATCATTGCCAAAATTGAGAATCACCAGGGAATGGCCAACTTGGATGAAATTATTGAAGCTGCCGATGGAATCATGGTTGCCCGAGGTGATCTTGGAATTGAAATCCCCCCTGAAAAGGTGTTCTTGGCACAAAAGGCCATGATCTCCCGCTGCAACAAGGTATATCTAGTCACTTATTCACTTATCCGCCATATATAGATCTATATTTACTAACGTCAATAAAAACATAATACAGTATCAGTAATGTATTAATGATTGTTTTGTTTTTTTGTTTTGTTTTCATGCAGGTTGGCAAGCCAGTTATTTGTGCCACCCAGATGCTTGAGTCCATGGTGAAGAAACCCCGCCCAACTAGAGCGGAAATTTCTGATGTCGCCAATGCTATTTTAGACGGAGCCGATTGTGTCATGTTGTCTGGTGAAACAGCCAAGGGCGATTACCCAATTGAGTGTGTTCAAACAATGGCAAACATTTGTAAAGAGGCCGAGGCAGTTATTTGGCAGAAGCAGTTGTTCAATGACCTCACTAGCTTGGTAGGTTTAACATTCTGTTAGATAGCTGTAATTATTTGTAAAAACTAGATCTTTCTTTAACTTTTTAATGTGATATTTATCTGTAGGCATCTCCACCAATCGATGCCACCCACACTCTGGCAATTGCTACTGTTGAAGCTTCTCAGAAGTGCCTGGCTTCTGCAATCATTGTTATTACAACATCTGGGCGGTCAGCTCACCTTATCTCAAAATACAAGCCAAAGTGCCCTATTATTGCTGTTACACGGTATGAGCAGGTTGCTCGTCAGTGCCATGTTTACCGAGGCATTCTTCCTCTCTGCTACTCTGGTGAGCTCCAAATATCTTGCTGATTGAGTTTTTTGGACTCTAGTTTTATTGTTCCTGAGCAAGTCACCTCCAAAGCAGCATACTAAAATTGAAATTTTATTCCCAAACAGAACCTGCTCTTCCTGACTGGCTGAAGGATGTTGATGCCCGTGTCCAGTTTGGCATTCAGTTTGGTCAGAAGAAGGCTTTCATCAAGAAGGGTGACCCTGTAGTCATTGTCACTGGATGGAAACAGGGCTCAGGCTTCACCAACACCATGCGCATTGTGTATGTATGAAGAGTCTGCACAGCTTAATAAGTGACTGGGTTCATTCAAGCTTGTATAGTGCTGAATGTTATTTGTGCTTGTGGCGGCGGCGGCAGGGTGCTTAACCTAGGAAATAATTAGCAACCTAAATTCCTTAATCCATTTTTTTAAACATCTAAATTTTATTATCTAATCTTACTTAATGTGTTGTTTTGATAAGTTCCTTTTTATTATGTTCCTGTATTATTAAGTATTTTTGTATTTTGTCCCTGTAAACCAAAGTAATCCTTGTGTTGTCCTTGATGTTTCATGTTTCATGCAGTCAGTTTACTCTTAATTTTCCATCATGAAAATCTCCAGATGGTTTGCAATTTTACTTAACCAATTCATGGTTTTCAGGAGTATTGATCTGTGGGTGGTAAATTTGTTTTTGAACACCTTTTTCCTTTGTTCTCTTAATCTTTGTATACTATACAAACAGAGTGTACACCTAAATCACATTTTAGTGCTTGAAATCAATTTCATTAGTGTGCATGGAAAGGGCCTGAATTGCTGGTCACTTAACACTGCTGCTTTCTCATGTATTCATCATTAGAGCTAATCACCAAATATCAAATGAACACACTTACTAATGCCAAGAAACTGCATGCAAGCAAGTTGGTTACTACTGCTTGAATTTCAGAGCAAAGAATTTCTTGTTGAAAATGTAATGCTATGTATAATTGCTATGTCCTTTAGTTATTTTACAGACCTTTCATATTCTGCATACATAACTACACATGGATTGGATACCAAAGTGCCTGTAGATCAAATAAGCTAGCTGATCGTTTTCCTATGCTTTATTCATTTTCATGCTGTGGTTTGCTTTTAAGTAAAATTTAAAGGTTTATTTTGTACCAATTTGATTTGAACTAGGTATGCTTACCTAGACTTTGTCAAAGTCATTAATTTCTTTCATGTGGATTGGGTCCAGGTCCTTTGTATTTGCTGGTGCATGCAATTTTGCGTTGTGATGTGCCACTCACATTTGTTGTCCTGTTCTGTGCCCTGTGTGTTTGTTCCCATACTAAGATAAATGCGAATTTCACATGGTGTGCATTAACTGTGTTATGTCAAATTTTAAATATTCCAATAAAACTTCAATCTTTCTTTAAAGAAGAGTAAGAGAAAATATATTGTTTTGGAGATCCCCCCCCCCTCCCCTTTTTCTTCTTTTAGTCGTCTGTAATGACAAGGGGATAAATGTTATGCATGAGACATTCTTATCCCCTCAGGTAAATAGATCACTATTTACTAAGATGAAAAGTTTAAACAAAAAAATAAAAAGTTAATTTGCTTTGCTAAGAAAATAAAAGAGAAAACAAATTGAAAAATCACATGAAATCTGAATTGAAAACTGTTCATTTTGTTGCAGAAATGCTGAGTAATACATCTGCTACAGCCCTAGGAACATGACTCAGGATTGTCTCCTGCCAGCTACAAGCAGTCCTCGAATTAAGGTCACCAGTTTTCCTGCCATATAAGTCAATAGTTGGCTTACAATTTAACTGGAGCTTGAATTATATTAGATTGCCAACCCTTAGACTCTACCAAATTTAATGGAGATGTGTAGCTGGATATTTAGAAACATGGATGGTACTTGGGAATTTCCATATTACCATCTACTAGTCAAGGAGAGCGACCTGACATTTCGTTATTGAAATATTTTTGATGCAATTATATTTGCAAGCTTATACTCATACTCGAACCCTGTAGTTGGGCATTTGTATTTCCACTCATCCCCCAAAATTTTGTGAGAACTTACCAAATTACTCAGTTGTTGGTATGTTAATGGAGGTAATGGCATACCTGTTATGTGCATATATATAGTATATATATGTGTGAACATGCCCAAGAACACATGTTCAAGCCTCTAGTCATGTCTGTCAGAACCAGAGAAAATAAACATCAAATAAAGACAACTTTTTATTTCAGTGTGTTTATTGGGGTGAGAAATAACATAAGTGGAAGCTGCATAATGAAGCATGGTATAAAGAGAATTCAATGACATGCATAGGAAAATCCAAAAAATAAAATGTGCTTTTAAAAACAATATATACAGATTAAGAAATGTACACGAACAAAAATCAGATTTAAGCATCCACAATATAATTTGGATGTACAACTAGCACAGGGTCCTCCTCTTGAGATTCCAAATCTTTCCCTGTCAGACCTGTCTTCCCTAGTGGAATGATAATCTGGTCCTGTAAAAGAAATGTATACAGATTAAGAAATGTACACGAAAATTAATCAGATTTAAGCATCCACAATATAATTTGGATGTACAACTAGCACAGGGTCCTCCTCTTGAGATTCCAAATCTTTCCCTGTCAGACCTGTCTTCCCAAGTGGAATGATAATCTGGTCCTGTAAAAGAAATGTATATAATATATAATGTAGGTATTGGTTTAAGTGTATAGTCTTAATCACATAAAAAGTGAAGGAAAAAAGGGGGTGGGGGCTCTGGCCATGAACTTACATGATACATTAGGCGATCAATAACTTTCTCAACAAGTTCTTTTTTCTCAACAAGTTCTTCTTCTGTTTCAATTTGATCCTGAATATTTTCAAGATACCATGCAACAACTTCACTTCTGTGGACACCTTGACTTTTAGATTCATCTTCTCCATCCTCAGCTTGCTGTTCTTCTCTACGCATGAATATAACTAGCAAGTTTGAAAGATTTTTGTAATCTTCAAATGACAACCTCAACTTCTTCTTTCCTGGGGCGGCTTCAGGGTCATCTAAAATTCCCACGCAATAAATGAGTACTTTTCAACAGATTTTTGTAGTGGTAGCAGTAGAGTTAGTTTCATTAAGGTTCACTCACCAATATCATTATTTTCTGCCCCATCTTCAATATCCATGGGCTGATCATCATCTGCATCAAGGTGAACATCAGGCTGTTCTATTCTAATAATTGATTTATTCAATAGGCGGTATGCTTCAGTAACATGGCGTTCTATAACTTCATCAGAGCATTCCATCTTGGCCATTGCTTCAGATAATCGAATCATACTTTCCAGTTGCCGAACTGTTATTCTCCAAGTTGATTTTCCACTTCCTGTCCCATCTCTCTGACGCAACTGACAATAATGGTCCACCAACAGTGCTGATGCACCCTGCAAGTGAATAACGAAACAAGATATGTGAAAAATGCATAACAAAATGAGTTCAGGGAAGTAATAAGATGACAAACCTCATTAATGACGGGTTTGAATTGGCGAGCAAAAGCTATATAACGTAGAACTTCTTCTTGAGAATATACTCTTTCAACTTCATCATCAACGCCTGAGTGCAAGGCTAAAATCTTTGTGGCAATTGCATAATCAATAACCTGGGGATAAATCATGTACACTAATTAACCATTGTCCAATATCCTTTCCAATAAATAGTTCAATCTGAAGAAAATCTGTTCTACCTCATTACACTCATCAACAAGAATAAAGAACAGATCAAAACGAGACATGATAGGAGCGGACAGCATGACATTTTGCTGAAGGGATTTGGAGCGATCATAACGGCCATTAATTGGATTTGCTGCAGCTAGAATTGATGTCCGTGCATTCAAGGTAGCCCTTACACCAGCCTGAAGAGTAGAAAATCAGAAAGTTATTCCTCATTCTATTCTACACTATGTAATTTAAAATTCATAACAGTACCTTTGCAATTGAAATTGTTTGCTGTTCCATAGCCTCATGGATAGCAACTTGATCTCTGGGATCCATTTTATCAAATTCATCAATACAGCAGACTCCATTATCGGCCAACATGAGTGCTCCAGCTTCTATTACAAAATCATTTGATTCTTCATCTCTTACAACTGCTGCTGTTAAACCAGCAGCTGATGATGCCTTGCCAGAGGTGTATACTGCTCGTGGAATAAAGTCTGCTACCTGACAAGGAAAACAACACATTAAAGAAACAAAACCCCATTGAATGCCAGAATATGATTGGAAATAAATCTTACTTGTTTCAATAGCTGAGATTTAGCTGTGCTTGGATCACCGACAATACAGCAGTTAATGTCACCTCGAAGGGTTGTACCCTCAACAGTATGTTTAGGTACACCACCAAACAGCATCAGTATAATACCTAGTGGCAAAATGATCCTTAACTACACCTTATTTGTAACTAATTATCATATTATGAGTCCTAGCTTACCCTTTTTAATATGGTCATTGCCATGAATTGATGGGAAAAGACTGTTTATTAAATTGCTGTACAAGTTACGGTCACGGCTCATTTCATAGACTTTATCCCACTCAGCATCTGACATGTGCTTTTTCATCAGTTCTGCAGACATTTCTTCTCCCAGTTGGTCAATTCCACCAAACTGCAAATAAAAATTATAATAATTAGGGGAAAAAGCAAAAACGAAGAATTAAAATCAAGGCCTGTATTTAACTGAATGTAAGACCCCCTGCTTTCAAATACTCAAAGTCAGGGAACAAAATAGGTTTAATGATGAAAAAGTGAAAACAAAGAGACAAATTTCCAGAAAAAATAAAAAGGGGGTCTTATATTCAGTAGAATATGGTTATTGACATCTTACTCGAGTATTAGAAGAGGCAACACTACAAGCTAAGAAAGCCATTCGATAGTTGAGGTCTCTAACTCCAAGGGATTTCAGACCACGCACACCTTCTGGCTGACTTTCACCACCTTTGTGACGAGAGTTTATTTCAGCTCGAGTGCCAGGGTTGGCAAGAACACCAACATCAGGCACTACTATTAATGTACCAGTAAAATCATAACGATCTCCTGCCTGTACGGTCTCAACAATTTCAGCTCTTAAAATGATCTCCACACTAAAAAATAAAAAAAACATCAAATTAAATTTAGATCTATTTCACCAGCATTCCTTTACATTGATTAGGATCAAGAAAATAATCACCTTCTGGGTATTGTCCCTCTTGGAAGTTCAGCCTGGGTTTCTTGAATGCGAACCTTTTGAAAATCTACAAAAGTTGACTTTTCCACATCTAACATGAAGCGACGGCGGTTACTGCAGACTGGGTTCCTACATATGGTAGGATTTGTAAACTGCAGGTAAAAGGAACATGTGTAAAATACATGTCAGATAACATACATAAATAAGTTCTCAATGCAGAGCAAATGTAGTAGACCTCTTGCTAGAATAAATTGTAATGTGTAGTGAGAAAAAAGTAAAGGACTTGCCTTGAATTGCTGCTCAACATCTGGAACTACTGTCTGGCAATCAAGGCAGACAAAAGTACCAAGTACAAGTTCTGGGTGAACAGGATGAGTCCTGACAACTTGACCTGAAATTCTGATCAAAGTACCTATTTTGGTTGTGTTTAGTTCCCTGACCTTGTGACGTGTTGGTACATCAACAAAGCTAACATAGCAGTCTTTGTCTTTTCTTGCTTCACCTCTATCATGAGCAAAGTTACGGACAGCTTGACAGAGGAAAGGATAAATCCTAGACAACAAACAAAATTGTGAGAAAAGGATTTTAAAAGTACAAATATAACTTCAAACTAAGAGGTGCTAAACCTGTAGTATTCTTCAATGATGGTGGTGGCAAGATTCTGATTGTACTTCTCAACATCGTCAAAACTCACTTCTAGAGTGCTACGTTCAGGTTCTTTTAGCTGCTGCACTGGTTCTAAGTACTTCACAACTCCATCTTCCTTGAACCTGAAGTGTTAAAGAAAAAACGCATAAGAATGGCTTGACTATCAAATATTGTGTGTCGAAATAATTCAATAACCTAATGAGAGCTGCATTAGCAAGCATTGATATCAACATTTAAATTGGACAGCAGCAGAAAAGCAGAGTAGAGAGGAGTAAAACTGACACTCTACAAAAGGATGATTTCGTTTGGTATTGAATTTTTTATAATTCGTGGAAATTTTAACTCACTCTTCTAAAAAATCTTGGAAAAGTTTCTGGCAGCGGACTCCAACATCATCGCGAACGCGATTCTGTCCAATTTGTGCGTCAGCGACGTCCATGGTGCCGAAGAAACTTGATCCTTGCGTCAAGTAGACGTAGATTTAACTTACAAAACTTAGTTAAAACTTATCAACACCGAAATAACTACACAGGAGAAAGAAACGCGCAGACACAGAGAACAATAACGTTGCCGCAACGGAGCCCTGTTGCTGTGGGATTTGGCGCGAAAATATTACCACGGGCTGCTTAAAAGCTTGATTTCTATTGACGTTTACATTCATATTCCGTACCTGTGCATCAGCTGTGAAGAAGACAAGAACTCTTATTCGCAGCTCGTGAACGGGGAGGGTAGAAGAAAAAGATCTCATGCTCATGCTTCCTATCGCATGACATGTTATTTTTGTCGACTTGTGTGTAAACTGTCGGTGGTTCATGCAGCTTTTGAAAATCTGGTAAGTGTAGAAATATATTTTTGACTCACTATCCCATTCAATTGATTTGTTCGTGGCTCACATGAGAGGTCCTTTGTTGTCATGGTAACTTCGCTGCAGGGGAGCCTGTCTGTCGTTGCCTCTTGTTAATCCTACTTCTTTGTGTCGTCCAGTTACTTTTAAGAAGTTATTTTACAAATCTTGTCCTCCGTTTAGTAGTTAAAGTTCTATTTACATTTACTATGTCAACTAGCGATGCAAAATCCAAAGGTCGGAAACAAACGCTCCTTCAGAAATATGATATGATTGTGGAATATTTATCATTTGAACACATAGATAAATGTGATAACATTAGGGAACTGGAAAAGATTCTTAAAATCTTGAGGTGAGAAGTTATTGTTCTGCTAGAACCCTCTTTGTGATTGTGGCACCTCTTTATGTTTTATGATGTCGTTTTATCCTTTGTCAGTTTGAATAAGCATCTGAACCACCTATTTACCTATTTACTTCTAGCTGAATGAAATATTGCTCTTTTCGTGTGCTACACTTTCATTTACTAATGTATGTTCCTTGAAAATCCTTTGGTTTTCTTCAGATCTGGCGAAGAAGGTCATTACCCTCACTTAGAAAAGGCTGCGGAGGAGAAGCTTAGAAAGTACTCCCCGAATAACCACTTACTTCGGGTTGAAACACTTGTCATACGAACTTCAGCCCTTGCTCACCAAGACAGGGAACTTGTGTCCAATGATATGCAGGTTTGTATTTCATCTAATCCACCTATCCTAGTGTAGAGGTACTTTTAATAGGTGTAATCCCTCTAATCAAGACTTTGTGGTTAATAATGTTGGAAGAAATGGGCCGAAGACATGTCATCTCGTGATAATCTCTTGAGATCTCAAGAAATCAGTACTTCTATCACAGAAGATACTCCAGCTATACGCAATTCTTCAGTTTCCAAATCTGTCATTGAAAAGAATAGAATGGTAAGGAATTAAGTTCTCCCGGCATGTGGTATTTCTGGTTGATCTTTCCCATCCATTACACACTTTTTTCTTTTCTAATGCCTTAGAATAAATCTTCCTCACCTCAACCAAAAACGAAATCAAGTCAAAAGTGCACTCCCAATGACTACACATTTTGGGATAAATTTGATGCCGATGGTGAGGTCTTAAAAATGGATTTGGAGGAAGAAAGACTTGCCGAGAAGAAATTGATTGAAAGAAAACAACAAGAGGAAATTCAAAGAAGTAAAGATAAGATCAAAATGGAGGAAGAGGAAGCTGTACGTGATCGACTAAGAAACATGAGGAACACTGCTGGCTCTGGTAAAGTGTTGTGCAATTTCACCTTCAAATACGTATTCTTAATGCCTTTTATAGGTGCAATGTTTCTATTTGACCACTTTTATTTGTTAATAGGTGATGACCTTGCCTTCTCTGAAAGGGAATTTAATTCTTTACAAGAAAAGGCTAAAGGCAATGAATATTTTCGGGACAGAGAATTGATGAAAGCACTTGAACACTATACTCGCAGTATCTCGTTTCTTCCCAATGTGGATGCATTCAACAACAGAGCTCAGACTTGTAAGTTTCATTCTCAAATGTAGTTTTTTCATGCTTTGAGTCACCTTTAAAAAATCAAGAATGTCTGAAAATTATAAGATGATTTTTTTGCTTGGTTATTAACACTTTATCCATTTCTCATGTTAACAGATTTAAAACTTAATGATCATAGCTCAGCAATGGAAGATTGTAAGTCGGTTTTAAGTATGGATCCGAAAAACGTTAAAGCATACTACCGCAGAGGTTGTGCCCTTTTCTCCCTCGAGAAATATCAAGATGTGAGTTCTCCAATTTAAATTAATTGTTGTGTTTTCTAATGGTATTTTTATTTTTAAATCTGATGACATTATTTTCAAGGCCTTGGATGACTTTGAGAAAGCACTTGAAATGAATCCCAATGATAAGGATATTCAGGAATATGTGAAGAAAGCACGACTGAAACTTGGAATCCCAGTCTCCAGTAAAAGAGTTCGGTAAATAGAACCTTTAAGAACATTTTACTTTTTTAATATAATTTCTTGATTTTCTGTTATCTGGTGCATCTGTCAAAAACTAAATGTCTGCTTGCATATTTTCCACTTCAATTGCAGGATGGCTATTCAAAGTAAAACTCCCAGTCTTGTTGAAGAAACTGGATCTGATTGTGATAATATGTATTATCCATTTTTCAATGTCAATCCCAATGAAGATATTGCTTTGAATGCAATTGGAACAGCTAAAGTGATGTGCCGTTGCAACGGAACACCTGGCTTTATGAAAAAAGTTCGCTCTCTGGAAGACATAAAAGACCATGGTCAAATTTGCTTGCGACGCAACACCAGACCTCTAAAGAAAAATACATCTTTGACTTCAGAAGTAAATCAAAAGCCTGAAGGGCAGGCTGCTCTGACAAATGGAAAATCTGTCATATCTGAGGATAATTTAACAACAGATGTAAACTTGGTACAGAAAGATGTTAATACTAACTCAATTAGTTCTCTTAAGACTGCTCCGAATATGCAAGAAGCATTGGGTGTTCTTGAGAAACTGAAGACACCTGACTCTTTCTCTCTGTTTTGGAGTGCAGTCAAAGATGTTGAGGACTTGCCCACTATTGCCAAAGCTCTACGTGTTCTGAACCCCAAAATAATAGTCAAAGGTTTGTACTTTTATATTTCATAAGACTTCATTTCACTAATTCCCATGAAATCTAAAATTTTAACGAAGTGCTTGATTGATTTGTTTGCAGTTATTGGTAATCAACTGAAAGGGAAAATGCTTACTCTTTTTATCATGGCATTACGTGCTCATTTTTCTCTTCCTAGTGAATGGTCCACTGTACAGTGTTATCTATTATCCTTTTCAAGACTTCCTACCTTTACACATGTTACATCAATGCTAGATAAAAGAGCAAAACAAGGTAAGGCACAATTTCTTTTAACAATACTTGCCTGTCATCTTTCATGCCTATCTACTAAGTTCCTTATGATGATTTCAGACCTAGAATTGTTACTCAATGACGCAGAGCGCCTGGGATTACGTGTATCAGACCTCCTTCAGCTTTATGGTTTGACAGGTCCTTAAAGGATCAGCTTGCTGTATTTTGGGAAGTGCTGTATGTGATGTACCAAATGTCATCTTTGTATGCTACCTGAAGGTAAATCATGCACTTTTTCTGAGGTGATGCATATGAATTTGATTATAGGACTGAGAATCCACACTGATTTTTAGAGTATAAGTAGACTGTTAAATGGTAAGAAGTTTAAACTTTAACAAATTATGTTCTAACAATTTTTTTTGTGGCGAGAATTTATAGATTTCCTTGTGTTAATTCTAGTTCATTTCTACTATAAAGTGTTACTTCTGTGTTGGGTTTGTTTTCATTAATTAAATTTTAGTTTGCAGTTAATGGTTATTACTACCGGTATGTCGGAAATTATTTGATCAAGTAGGACTTCATTTGTTACCGTCAGCATGCTCCATCTTTTACATTGGTGATAAATGGTTAGAGCATCTTTATGTACTGGAGGCATTCTATCAGCTCTACTGATCTGCAGTCCTATTTGATTATTATAAAAATAATTCCTTTATTCAAACATACTTAATTTAATGTTGGTTAATTAGGCCACTATTTACTGAGTTCAGGGAATGAATGAATGGAACAATTTCTCTAGTAGCCCCATTTTTAAAATCAAGCTATTCAATCAGCTTTGTAGTGTTCTTGTTAGATGCTATACTTGGTAGTCATTCACAAACCACCCGCTTCTTTGATATTAGTACTGTACTCAGGTATTTTTCAAATGCCATCAAATCACTAGTCGTGTGATTATTGTATTAAATCAGTCCTAACTAGCTGCCTCGGGTGTAAGTCAGATCATTTTTGTCCTAAGTCATGAGTTACTGCTATTTTCAGCAATTATTCATCTGTTTCCATGCAAGTTATTTAATCTAAAGGGTTTTGTTTAGTGTTTGCAAAATGTTGCTCAATGTTCTAATCCCTCTCAGGAACCAGGAATGAAATTACCCTCAGTTTATTATAGTTACCAATTTTACTGCCAATTCGGATTTTCTCTGTTGGAAATTTGTAAAGAAGTAATTCTGTTTGATGTTCCAAAATTGCATTTGGAAGCCATTATGAATTTTTAAGTCACTAGTTGATGTTTCTTATACAATGTTATTTGTTTACTGAATTAGTCAAGAGTTAGGATTTTATTTGCAGTGCTCATTGCTATTTATTGAGTGTCTTATAGTTATATCTTATTCGCAAATGATGTTGGTTCTCATGTATGTATTTTCTGTGTGTGTTTCATGTACTGTCTGGGGTTCCTGTTTGGTATAAATTCAAATGGGGCACCAGGAGTACTGCAGTATTGTTTATTACAACCCACGCGTACAATAAATGGAGATTGAAAACAATAAATACAAATTAGTGAAAACTTGATTCCAGTTGTTGGTAGAGTGCTGTGGCGGCGTTTAGGGCGCTGGCCGAGGGGAAGGAGAGGAGGACTAGGCGAGGCGCTGTGAGTGGCGCTGCGGCGGAGCGTGGCGGAGCGCGGCCGCAGTAGATTTAGGCCGCTGCAGTGCGACGAGGACCTCGCTGGGGTAACGGACACGCCCTGCCACCAGATCACGCCGCCGGATCAGTCCCAGTCCATTGCAAGTAGGTACGCCTGCCGGCGGTGTGTTGTCCTGTCTGCCGTCACCGCGCTCATCGCGACAATCTCCGATACCTTTACCTGTCATTTGCGCGGGAAAGGCGTCAGCGTCGTGCCGGGCACAGAGAGGCACGAAACACGCGTCGTTCTCCGCGTGCCGCGCCCTGCCGGCTCCTGCCGAACTCAACGAGGATTATTTGAGAGGGCGCAGGTTGAATTTTAACGATATTTTTTGTTACCATTTAAAACGTTTTTTTCTTACCGAAACTCTGATACTCGCCCTCGGTACTGCGCCCCTCTCAGTCGCGCGCGTTTGTGCGTTTGTGAATGAATCACTCGAGGCGCCTGCCGGCATGCTGCCGGCCGCCCCGCCCGCCCACGCGCGAGGTGAGGTGAGGCGCGCTATTTCGGTCCCCCTCCCCCCCACTCATTCTACTATACTACTACTTTGTTGCGGCGATGCAGCCGAGCCGCGCGAGGCGCCTCGGTCCCTGAGAACCGCCCTCCTGCCAATGATTCGATAGTGGCGGTGCAGCAGTGTGGCAATAACTCTACGCGTGCAACACGATGCTGTGTGCCCAAAGCAGCACGTAGCAGTGTGGGACGAGGAGAACCTTTGTACTCCTTCTTCCTCTCCCGGTGTGGAATGGAAAAAGAAAACACCAAACGTTTTGGTGCTTTACATCTTAAACATCTTAAACTTGGCCGATTTTCATGTAGGATCGGTTTAAAATAAATAGGTTGACACGTTTCAGACACCGCCTCGCAGTTGCTTTCCCGTTGTTCCTGCTGCCTCCGCCGGTTTTCATCCGCCGAAGTCCTACAGACACTACCATACTCAGCCTGCTTTTTTTTTTTTGCCTACTGTGCCCTCCCCGCAGGCAACATGGCCCACAAGCTCGACGCCGTCCCGGAGGTGACGATGGACGAGGAGGGCAAGTTCAAGTACGTGCTGCTCAAGCTGTTCGTCGAGCCGCGGGCCGCCAACGTGTCCAAGCTGGTGGTGCGCGGCGCACGCTGGGCGCCCTTCCACGGTGAGTGCAGAGCAAAGTGGCGCAGGGCAGAGCGTGCCGAGGCGAGGCGAGGCCGGGCGCCTGCCGGGGCCAGGGTAGGCTGTGCCGCTGCGCAGACGTGCCGCGCCGTGCGGCCTACCCCGCCGGTGGCAGGCGCTCGGCCACTCGGGGGCGTGGTAGGCAGTGCCGCTCCCTGCGGCCTATCCCGCCGCCGGTGGGCTGGCGTTCAACCACACTCGAGGGCGTTTTGCTGGGTGTTTTGGTGGCGAGAGAAATGATGTTGGCACGACCTCATCCTCTGGTACGAACTTGGAATTTATTCATCCGACATTATTAAAATACATTGATATGTTATACGCTGAAATTCGCGCCACTCACCGTGGCCCGTTTCACGTGTCGCATGTCACGTCTTCACGAAAGCATGATGGCGTACATCATCACCATGCTGATACATTAATTTTGACACAAGGGCGTCTTCTGATTTCCTGGTGGCTGCGCCCCGATGCGACTGAAAGGAGTGCTGCCGGGAAAAGTTTAGAACCGTTTGTCTCGGATAGTCGGATAGTCTTTTAATAAGACGATAGTAAAGGAGTAGGAGGGGAAAACGACGTGGAGAGTAAAGTTTACAGATCTACGAGTTTATAAAACTTCATAGTACAAAAATCCTGTAGTAATGAGTATGTATCTGCTGTTGTTTGGCAACCATTGCGGCCGTGGTCGGCCCCGTGCTCTTGAAGGGCATGAGTGGGGCTCGGCCGTCCCTCACCCCCTCCCCCCTCTTTCCTTTTGTCCCTGGCTCTCTCTCCCCGGGCCGCCCCTCGTGCCGCTCCAGTGGAACCGGCATCACAAGTGGACGCGGAGAGCTCCGCAACACGGAGGAATTTCTCTCCCTTTCTCTCCCCCCTCCCTCCCTCCCCTCTACGCGTCGAATTGCGCCTCTCCCCCTTGTGGATGTGAGGCCCGTAGGCCCGTAGGCGCGGTGGTTGGTAGGCCCCTTAGGCCCCGGAGAGGATGGAGGAGCGGGACTTTTCGTTGTGGGTCGGGGGAAGAAGGAAGTTTGACAGACTCCATCTTGGCCGTGGCGTCAAGTTTGGACCATGGGGGTTGGGGGGGTGGGGCAGGTCATCCCGGGCAATCCAGCGTGAGTGGCGGAGGGCAAAGGAAGCAACTTCCATCGTTTGCGGAAGTTGCCGCCGGAAGGGACCTCGCCGAGGACCGCCACTCTCCGCACACGCCTCGCGCAGGTGCGAAGACGGTGTGTGCCGGACCGGTGGGTGTGTCGAGAAGGGGAGGAGGGACTTCCGGTGGCTGGGGGTGCATCCCTCGGCCGCGCCCGGCCCCGCCGCGATGGTCGCCCACATCAGCTGATCTACTTCCCCTTTTCTCATCGGGATGACCGACAACGCGTTTGCGCGCGCGCCGCAAGCGTTATTGCTAAATAGACTCTCGCCTGACATTCCATTGCTTACAAAAGACATTCACACGCACACACTCAAACAAGGGGGCGGGGGCAACGGCTATAGGCCTGATCGCTAACGGCGAGCAGCGAGGGGAGGAGGGGTCTCCTCGGTCTCCTGGGGTCTCCTCTGCCCTGCGCGGTCCGTCGTCGCCCCCACCACGAATTTATAATAAACAGAAGGGGGAATGAAAAATGTATATCTATGTTGGCGTTCACTGGTCCTCATTCGATGTCTTCACATCTCACCGAAAAAAAAGAAACAAACAACGTTCCGCTGTCGTATTACTTCACATTGCACAGTCTGGTCCCGGCCGGAGCCGTAAGTTAGAAGTTTATAAGGCCGAGCAGATGCACTCAGCCAAGCGATGCACTCGGGCATCATCGTTCAGTCTTTGCCCTCGAGCGTCCCGTCGGTCACCCGGTGGTCATGCGATGGTCACCGGGTGGTCGTACGACGGCCACCGGGTGATCATGTGATGGTCACCGGATGGTCACACTGTGGTCACTGCTTCGGCGGCGAGCAGCGCCGGGCGAAGCAGCACAACGCGCGCTGCATCTGGTGCAGCCGGTTGTCGCCGCCGTCCTTGTCCTTGTGCTTGGGGGTCTTGGCGGGGGAGGCGGGGGCGGCGGCGTCCCGCGGGTGCAGGCGCGGCGACCCTCCGCCGCCGCCCCCGCTCCCCGACCCTCATGTGGCTGCGAGGCCCTGGGCGGCCTGGGGCGCGGCCGACGCGGCGGGGGCGGCGGGCGCGGCGCCCGGGGTGGGGCCGCCCTCGTCGTCGCACGTCATGATGACGTCGGCGTCCCTCATCTGCTGGGCCATCTTGGCCTTGCCGCCCGGGCCGGAGCCCTGGCCGTCCTCGGACGGCCGCCGCTGCTGCTGCGCCGTCTGGTCACCCTGCTGCTGCTGTTGCTGGAGGAGCCGCCTCGTGTTCACGGAGGACGTCCTCCTGGAGCTGGTGCCGCCGTTCTCGGCCTGCTCGCCGGTATCGGTGCCGCCGTTCAGCGCCTGCCGGTGGGACGAACATGGTTAAAATGTCTGCTCCATACGACTTCCTTTGGACTCAGTCTGCACTGCAGGTGCGAGACGCACCTTGCTGCCGTCGGTGCAGCAGGGCACGCTGCTGAGACAGGGCAGGTCCGAGTCGTAGGACGAGTGCATCAGCGTGAACGGCAGCTTGACGGAGAGCTCGCCCCCCATGGCACCCACCAGAAGCTTCACCTGAAACAAAACGCAGTTGGTACAACAAAGAAATAAATTGTTTTTCATAAACGTTTTTGAAAGGGGTGGGGCTGATTGCGCGTGGGCCAAACGCAATCAGATCGATGGGGTCGGCAGCACTTAAAGGGGAGCTAAAGGCGAGCAAGATGGTGGCGTGGCGTGGGGGTGGGCCCTATCCCTCCACTCCACCCCTTCCTTGCCCCGGGTGACCCAGGTGTTCCTCCTGTCCGACCCCGCGCGGCCCAGCCTGGCTCCTCCCCTCTCATTTATTTACGTCCCCTGCTGACCCCGACCGCTCGACCGGTCCGCTGGTGCTGGCTGCTGGCCTGGCGCTGCCCCAGGCTGCCACTGCTGCTGCACCCCCCGGGTGCTACGGGCAGCGCGCGGGGGCAGCGGCAGCCTCCCTGTCGTGTAGCCCTGCCCCCCGTGACGCAGGCGCCGACCGGACCTCGACAACCCCTCTCCCCCTCTCCCATGGGAAGCCACTACGACTCCAATATACTCCCTTATCCTTTCTCCCCGCCCCCTTCTCATTCTTTTTATATTTTTCAATAATAGGCCTCTCCCTTTTTATGTTTCGTGCGTGAGTTCCCCCCGTCGAGCGCGCGGAACTTTACGAGTGCCCCGGTGCCTCCCGCGCGCGCGCCTGCCGCTCGACACTACTCACTCACCTTGACGTAGTACGACACGTAGATGGCAAAGACGTTGCGGTCGTCGGGCGAGTTGGAGGCGCAGGTGACGGTGGAGGCGAGCGGCGCGCCGCCCCGCGCGAACGAGTCCTCGAGCGCGATCCAGTTCTTGGTGGTGCCCTTCTCCGGGCTGAGCGCGTACGCGCGGTTGATGGCGCCCCCGGGCCCCAGCGGACACTGGTCCCGCGAGTTGATGAGCGCCACCACGTTCTTGAACTTGCCGTTGGAGAACATGCACACGTCCACGTGTTGCACGACAAACACCTGCAAATTGTTGGCACACCGTCAGGTAAAACATGTAAATGTGATAAAACATTAAAATGTGACTGGAGTTTTTCGTCTGTGGAAAATTGTTTCAAAGGGTCAAAAAACAAGTTGATAATCTTGAAAATATTCATGGAGAGTATTTTTAATGTCTCTTTGAAAACAACCAGCAACTTAAAGTTTTTAGTGGTCATGTGCTATGTGCTGTGTGGCGTGGCGTGAGAGAAATCGGGATGAGTGGGGGGCCACTGGTTGGTTAAGTGAAGTACCCGAGCACTGTTGCTTCTTTCGGCGGGTTTGTCTGGACTTTCGAGACCCTTGATACACCATAGCCGGGGCAGGCAGGAGAGGAGCAGATCTGATTATCCGCGCTTCTTGAAGACAGTTTGTTTGTGCAGCATCCGGGGGCGGGGCGGGACGGCGGCGGGGGAAGTGAGTACACTTTTCCATAACTCAATTTGGGGCTTAAATGGCTCCAGCATTATTGCGCGGCCCACCCGTGGCCCGGTCCAGCAGCAGCTAGCAAGGGGGGTCGCTGACTTCCTAACGATTCGGACGCTATTATAAGACTTTTGCTCCGGCAGAGCCGAGCCTGCTGCCGGGCCAGCAGCCGAGCCGCTCAACAACAAGCGCCGGGCAGCGCGGCGTCAATTGGGGGGCGCCAAGTTTTCCTGCCATAATCTATTTATTTCGGTGGCGCGGCGTAGCGCGGCGTAGCGGCGCCGAGTGGCGTCTGGCCGGCCCCAAAGTTTGTCTGTGCGGTCCGTAACGAAGTGGTGGAGGCTGCTCAGGATCAGTATCAGCCAGCCCAGCCAGCCTGCGCTAACAGCATCACAGAGAGTACATCGTTAATATCATCCGTAATTCTTTTATTTTTATTTTTTTGGTCGTAATTTAGTTTTTTACGAAGTGTAATTATGATGCGCAACGCTTTTGCCGCGCCTGCCCTACAACCCCATTCTTCTCTCCTCTGCCGCCGCGCCGCGATATTCGTTGTGCAGTTTTAATGGCGGATCGGGTTTCATTGCATGGCGGAGCTCGGCGAGGTGGAAGTTTGTTTCTGGCGTACACGATTACCCGCCGCCGCGTTGATCCCGACTGAGCGGCTCTCGCCCCGCCCTGTGCCCGCGGCCTGGCAACGTCATCGCCACAATAGTTACCGAGCATCATGAATGCGTATCGGGTGGGGCGCGGGGCTGCCTCATCTCTGTCTTGTCGGCTGCTGGGTCAGTTCTGGCCGAGAGCTCAGCAGCCCGCGTGCCGCTCGACTGCGCAGAGCATTGCGGGGAGCCCATGGACTGTACCGAGCGGCTGATTAGGATGGCTGAGTTATAGCAGTACCTGTGTGCTGCATCATTAGCGACCCCCCCCC